GCACTGAAAGTGTAAGAGGGGAATGTTACAAACAACTTCATGGCAACACATTTGAAAACTTAAGTGAAATAAAACAAATTTCTTGAAAAACAGTATATCAAAAACTGACAAATGAAGAAATAAAAGTATGAAAAGCCTTATGTCTATTAAGAATTTGAATTCATTATCAAAAATCTTACCCAAAAAAGAAGTCCAAGTTTGCTTTGGGATAGGCAAAGACTTCTTAGGTGGGACATAAAATGCAACGATTATGAAAGATGTAAATTGATAAATTGGTCCTAATCAAAATTGAGTAACTTTCCTTGTTTTTGATTAAAGAATCGAAATTAAGGTGACGCCTGGGTGGCTCAGTCCATTAAGCCTCTGCCTTCAGCTCAGGTCATGATCCCAGAGTCCTGGGGTGGAACCCTGCATCCCCAGGGAGCCTGCTTCTCCCTCTCCCTGCCACTCCCCCTGCTTGTGCTCCCTCTCTGTCAAATAAATAAATAAAATCTTTAAAAAGAAAACCACGATTAAGGACATGATTGGAATAAACACTTGCAACACATATATATATGACAAAGAACTTGTGCCAATATGGGAAGAATTCTTATAAATCAAGAATAGAGAGAAAAACAACCTGATCTAAAAAGTGGCCAAACAACTGGAACAGATACTTCACAAAAGAAATGCTACACAGCAGAAAAGCATGAGAGAAGCTGTTTAACATCATTAGTCATAGAAAATGCCAATTAAGCACAAGGAGAGACACTACTGCCCATGAACTAGAACAGCTACAAATAAAAAGACTGACGATACAGAGTGTTGTTGAAGATGTGGAGGAAAGGGAATTCTCATCATTCGTAGTGGGAATGTAAAATGGTACAACCCCTTTGGAGAAGAGTTTGATGGTCCCTTGTAAAATTAAACATAGATCTCCCCTAGGACGGAGCAATTATACTGACAGATATTTGCCAGGAAGAAAGGGGAACACAGATCCACACAAGGACCTCTCTGCTTGTTTGCAGCAGCTTCATTCATAATAACCTCACCTAGGAATTACCCAAGTATCCAGCAGCAGACACGCAGATAAATGAGTTGTGATGCACCGCAGTGGAACGGCAATAAAAAGGAACAAAGTACAGACATATGCAATAGCATGATTTTGAAACATGTAAGCTAAAAAAAAAACAAAACACAAAAGTACATACTACCTGGCTCAGTTTTTAAGAAATTCTAGAACAGGAAAAATTAATCTCCAGAAACAGAAAGTAGGTCAGTGGTAACCTAAGGCTGTGGAGAGATTGCAAAGGAAAATAGAACTTCTTCTGGTGAAGAAAACGTTCTGTTTCTTCGCCGGGCTGGTGCTTCCGTGGGGCACGCATTTGTAGAAGCTCCTTGAACCATGCAGTGAGAACGAGTACATTTTACTGTCTATAAATTATACCCCCATTAAGTAGATTAAAAGGAAAAAATCCAATGAAGGGGTGGACAAAAGTCACCACAGCAATGGCTCTCAGGTATTGGAATGTACACGGAGTTTCCAGGGTCCCATTTCTTTCCCTGTTTGGGAGCACACGTCGGGAGCCCAAGTGTTCATCTAAGTCAATGGCTTAGTGTGTAAAATTCTAATTTTAAAATAAAGAGATCATAAAACGATATAAGAAGTGAATGAAAGTCTATAGGATAAATATTTTAAAGTCGAGTGATGAACTCTGGATATCATTGTGCTCTTTGTGGTTAAGTCTGTTTAAGTCTATTTGAATCCTGGGTTGTCAAGGAGCTCAGAAAAATGTGCTGAGTACACAAGTGTGCCTTTTGGGAGGAGATGAATCAAATATGCTAAGTTTCTTATCAAATGTTTAAGGAAATGTGATTAATCAAATATGTAAACAGCGTCAAGTGCTCAGGAGCATTTAATCAGTCAGACTTCTAAGTTAATGGTTGAGCAAAGAACTGAAAACATAATTTCTCTTACTTTTGTACAAATTTTACTGTACTTATATTTTAACAAGATGTTGAGCCTAGATGTAAGAAACATTTCTTATTTAAAAATTTACAGTTGGTAATGTGTCAATTTTAGTTTTACTTCTGGTTTTCCTCTCTTCCCCCTATTTCTAGTTTACCCCCTGTCTTTCACCCTCCAATGTTAAGGTGAAATGACCCAGGGGCTTTTTTCTCCCAGCAATTCATTTCCACTGACGGCCTATCCTAGGTGTAAGGACAATAATCATCGAGCCTAGAAAGCAGAGGCACTGAGCGCAATTTACATGAATAATGGCCTCTGCTGGCATTTAATTGAGTGTTTCTAGCCTATTTAATCTTATTAGGTAGGCAGGAGTTTCATCAATTTACAGATAGAGAAACCAAGGTCATGCAGTCTGCACGTGGCAGAGCCAGGACTCAGAACTGTGTCGCTCCAAAGCAATCAGTGTCTGTAATTCCTCACAGGTGAATTACACTCCGGCTGAAGCTATATAGACTCTCCTCCCTGGCTTGTCATTTCTTGGTGTGCTCAACCAATAATTTTGAAGTTCTATTCTTTTTCTTTCTGTATCCAGGGGACTGTTATGTAGTAATTGCGCGGATCTGTTGAACCCTCTGGTCAGTACTCATGCTACTGATTCCTGTAGGGTCAGAATCCAGGGTACTGGCGGGTTTTGTTGGTTTCCAGTGGAGGCATGGCTTTGGGGGAAAAAAAAGGACCATCCGTCCTTGGAGAGGACCCATCTGATTCCTCTCTACTTTCCCCTTGACTCCTCCCAGACACTCAGCAAATGTCAGCTAATGAGTAAGAAATTAATTATTGGTTAAAAAGCCACAGATGAAGAATCTGCAGAGATATTTGCAGCCCCTTCTGCGCCGTGCGGCTCCTCGCAGGGGTTCATTTAGTGTTTACTGTAGAGAATGACGCTTCCACTAGTTCCTTCAGCAAAGTAGTTATCAAACCTCAACCGGGTCTTTTAAGGACACACAGTTTAATTCAGTATGGATTCACACACAGCCTCTCCTTTGAGGGTATCTGGGGTCGAGTAAATCAGGTGCACTAAACAGTGTTAGAGGACAGAAAGCGTTAACTGCTGATAGAAGATTGCCAGTCAAGGTTTTTGACTTTGAAGAAGTTGTGAAGACCAGGGAAGAAGTCCTTTACTCTTTGCACTGGTTTGTTTCTCCGGGTATCTTTTTTCATGTTCTCCTTAGCAATCTCACGGCCTCAAACTTTTCTTCTCTCTGGGTCAGTCCCAAACCTTTGTTCTGATTTGTCTCCCTACTTCCCCCTTCCTCCCAGACACCAGCTCTATTTAAATAATCCGCCAGCACTGCAGACTCCATGCATCAAAACCTGCACTCAGAATTCTCTGCCAGGTCTGTGCCTGACTTCTTGAGGATGGGAAGAGAAGGAAACATGCGCCAGGGCAATGAGAAGTAGGCAATTCATGGCATGTAGAGACAGGGAGACAAAGAAACAGCAAAGAACAGGATGGCACCCGATGACAGTCTCTGGGTTTTTGAAATGTGTTCTTGTATCCTCTCCCTCCATTTCCTGATTTCTGTCATGAAAGTACAGAATTTAATCTAGACTTTTCCTTTCTGATCTTGAACTATAAAAGGTTTCCAAGTCAAGGGGGAAAGCCTTTCACTTGATGTTCCTGTGGGAAGGAATTTAGATCCTCACTTCCGTGAATACTGTCTGAACTCCTCTACGGGAGACTCGCACAATGCAGTAGTCATACCAGAAACACGGCAGGACCACTTAGCATAATACTGCCCAATGAGACTGGAATTTAAGAAAAAAGGAGGGAGGGCAGAGACTGATTATTACTAACATTTTTAGGAAGCTTTCCTCTCCCTACACATTACATCCTTTCTTTTCTATTAGCAACACAATGGTAAGAAACTAGAGGAAACTAACACTTGGAGTAATGGAATTAAGGGCATCAGGACATCTATCTAGTGGATGGGTAACTTAAAATACTCTGGGGGCTCATTCATCTCTTCAATACCTTTATCGGGGCCCCCAAAAGGAGAACTAGTGATGTGAGCATGGCAAACTGGCTAGCTATTCCAGAAAGTGGTTGCCCCATCCTTTCAGGCACAACTAAGACATATTTCCCAGAAATGGGAAGTTTTGTCCAAAGGAACACTCGTAAGGGACATGCAGGACTTTCGGGACCTCTTTTCCTGTGGGTTCCTCCAACAAAGACTACTCTGGAAACTGGAGACAGGCAGCCCCAAGATGGAAGAAGCCTGGGTCTCAGGATGACTGCAGGAAGCTGTCCACTGACCAGAAACATCCACACTGGGCTTTACGGGAGAGAAATAACCTTGGGAAAGTCCTACAATTGCCTGCCAGTTTCCTCATGTCAAGGACTATTAATGGTGCCTGACCACGAGTAAAAGCTCAATAAATATTAGCTTCTTTATTCGTAACAGTCCAAAACTCAGGGAAGCAGCAGAGGAAGTCCTAAGAGGGAAGTGTATCATAACACAGGCCTACCTCAAGAAGCAAGAAAAATCTCAAATAAAAACCTAAACTTACACCTGAAGCAGCTAGAAAAAGAACAACGAACAAAGCCTAAAGCCGGCAGAAGGAAGGAAATGAAGCCTAGAGCAGAATCAAATGATCTAGAAACTAAAAGAAACCATACAACAGATCAGTGAAACCTGGAGCTGGTTCTTTGAAAAAATTGTTAAAATTGACAAACCTCTAGCCAGACTCCTCCAAAAGAAAAGAGAAAGGACCCAAATAAAGAAGAGCACAAATAAGAGAGGAGAAATACAACAACCAATACTACAGAAATACAAGGAAGAGAACATTATGGAAAAGACCAATAAATCCAACAACTAGGAAGAAATGGATAGATTCCTGGAAACATATATAGGACACCAAAACTGAAGCAGGAAGAAATAGAAAACTTGAATATTAGCCGTCATTATCACAGAAAACAAAGTTTACTTCTTAATTTCCTTTTTTTGGGGGGGTGCAAAGTGAAGCTTTGGAGGCGGGGCTGGGGGTGGGGAGTCAGTGGAAATCGCGGGCCATATCTGTCAGTTACAAACCACCACCTGGTTCTCTAGTATGTTTAAGTAGCACAACACTGTAACAGTAACTCAGAAAAACATATTTTCTTCTGGATCCCAAGCATTACATTTTAGGACTGGTCTCTTGCTAAAACAAAAAGAATGTGATACCCCCTCTTTTCTCCCCTTGACATTGAGCATTTGGGGACATTTACAAAAGTCCTGACAATCCACATCAATTCTGTGGTTTCAAATTGACACGGAATTTGTACAAAGAATACTTTGTGCTGTTACGATATTTAACTGATACAGTATAACAATAGTAATAATCAACTTTTATTGATTTTACATAAATAGCTTATAGAATGCCTTTCCAAACCACATTTTCCCAATATATTTATGTTACAACTCACAACATTTCTTTATGAAACTATTTGTTAGATCTTTTTGCAGAGAAAGTGGGGAAAAAGTGAAGGGAGAAGAGGGAAAATAAGATTTCAAAACTAATCTTCAGCGATCGGCCTAAATATTTGGCAATTACTTCCTTTTATAGGAAATTACAGGATTGTAACTGAAACATATCAAAAGTGCAGTGCATCCATTTAATTAAAAAAGCAGTAGTGTCAAATATATTATTTGGGCATCAAATTTCCCTTTATAAATATATTCAGGTTCACATAGTTTTTATACTTATTAAATAATGGTTTAAAATAATAACCGTCAAAATCTTTAAATAATCCCAGATCTGGATTAAATCGTGGTAGTAGCAGTATTTTTTTAAAATTCTAATTTGTTTTTTTCATCAGTAAAATGTATTATTTTACAATGTCCCCAGAGAATAAGCTTCCTACACTGGATGATGATAATCTTACTAAATCTGCTATTAACTAGGTCATATACGAGGCCACTAATAAGTTCTATCAGACATTTTTTTCACACTGATGTATCCACGTATACAAAATACTACAGGTAGTCATTATTGTACCAACACTGAAGACTTAACCATTCCGGAAACAAGGAACCATGTTTATATTATTATTTCTTTGTTATGATGCTTAGTCTTGGTATTATCAAGCACAATGTATTTTTCTTAACAAATGTGGATGGATTTATTAAGGCAAAGGACATAACCTAGTCCTCTCAATAATTTATTCTCTATCCTTATAAAAATTGTTGTTGAGGCTATACAAGTTACAGATATGCTGGCTACAGAGACACGACCTGTCCTGGAGACCAACACCTAGTATGGTAAGCATGAGGTTAAAATTTCAGTGTTCACAGCATTCCTTCTTTGATCTGCCATCACGATCATTCCTCAGCAGTACCCTCAAATACCATTGACTTGCTATGTCTCTTGGTTTTATGTATGTAGATTAATTTTCCTTATTAAAAATACTTCACAACAGTTAACAATAGGACAAAATCTACTCAGTCTTTGTAAACTCTCCACTGAATAATTTTTCATTTTTACAACCGTTTTCTGCGTGGCTGTTGCGCTTTTCTTCTGTCATCTTCTTCACATAACTAAGTGGTCCCTTCCCTTCAAAGGAGGAAGGATTTTTGAAGGAGCCTCCAATTCTATCCCACAAGGTGAAATACTGTCCGTAGTTGTAGTCAAAGAACATGTGGTGGTCTGTATGATGGGCTGAGCCATTAATAAATGGCCTTAAGATTTGGGGGACACGGAAGTCGCCATCATGAATGGAAATCGTCCAGATATTCACCAAGATGTACAAACTTAAGTAAACCACCTTGTGTAACGGGAAGATAAAAGGGTATATATGGTAAGGTAGACTCTGAAGGAAGCCATCCACAGGGTGAAAAGCATGGCTTGCAAATGGAGTCGGAATCTTCCAGAGATGATGAGGTTTGTGTATGCGCTACAGAAGGAAAGAACACAGTTAAGAACCACCTTTACTTTTCAACTTAGCTCTTTATGCTCACATTGTGGAAATGACCTAACTAAAAAAAATCTCTTTAAATCCCCAAGTCACTTGATAAAATACACCCTGTTACCTGAACACAGTAACATTTTAACACAGCCTGTCCAGACCCGTAAAGAACGCAAACAAAATGCATCTGGTGTCTGTCTTGACTGTGGCTACTCAGGTATTCAAAAAGTTAGAGGGAATTCTTAGAAATACAAAACAGAATTTGGGGCACCTGGCTGACTCAGTCAGTTAAATGTCCGCTTAAGCTCAGGTCATGATCTTGGGGCCCTGGGGCTGAGCCCCGCATTGGACTCCCTGCTCAATGGGGGAGTCCGCTTCTCCCTCTGCCCCTCCCCCTGCTTGTGCACGTGCTCTCGCTCTCTCTCAAATAAAATCTTCAACTAGAAAACAGAATTTGTACACTGCTAAAATGTATATATTTTTTCTCTTCCCCTTAAAAATGACTCTACCTGGGACGCCTGGGTGGCTCAGTGGGTTAAAGCCTCTGCCTTCAGCTCGGGTCGTGATCCTGGGGTCCTGGGATCGAGCCCCATATCGGGCTCTCTGCTCAGCAGGGAGCCTGCTTCCCTCTCTCTCTCTGCCTGCCTCTCTGTCTACTTGTGATCTCTGTCTGTCAAATAAATAAAATCTTAAAAGAAAAATGACTCTACCTTATACACAAGTCTATGATGAAGGCCTCTGTGAATCCAGTAGATCAGCATGTCGGTGAAAAAGAGGAAGGACATTACGCTAACGATGAGGCGAAACCAGCCTAGAAGAGATGACAGGGTATGTCAGAATCAAGATCCAGCTTCCAGGACCAGAGTTTACTTGGTACTTGTCCATCTAAGCGCACAAAATGGGAGCCTACACTCAAACACTATAAACTGTTTGGCTAATGCGATACATTGTAAATTAATCTCCCTTAACTCTCTAGTATCTGTTGCTTTCCTCATTTCCCTCCCATAAAAACTTGAAGTTAAACTATGAAGGCACTTATGAGACAGACAAAGCATACACTTAAGGCATCTTTATTATTTAAATCTCTGAGCATAAGTAACACCACTTATTTTTCCTTCATATTTATTAGTCTTTGTAAAACATATCCTTACATACTATCTTCCTGCTTAGGATTTTATTTTCCACTAAACACCTCAAGCCTAGCATTTACTCCATAACCCAACACGTTCTGATCTTTCCAGCCTCCTCTGTTCCTGTACCGAGCAGGCTGGTTTACTCAATGTCCTCCCCACATCTTGGAAGTCTTACCTCTGCACCTTGACTTGTTCTGCTCCGGGTTCCTAGAACACGATTTCTCTTTTTATTATTTTTACTCAAAATCCTATCCACTTTTCAAGGCCTAGCCATTTTTGTTCCTTCCTTTAGATATCTGACCTCTTCCTTGGACAACAGGTGTGCTGGTGCCAGCAAACCTGGGTTCCAGTCCTAGATCTGCCACTTATCTGCTGAATGACCTGGGCAAGTTATGGTACGTTGATTTACTCACCTATAAAAGGAACCTAACAAGACCCATGTCATAGAACTGATGTGGAATGGAACAGATTGATATGCGTGAAAAGCTTAGAACTGTAGCTGGTACATATTAACATTCAAGAAATACTAACTACGATTCTTACTTTCTAATATTCAGATACTAGAGATGGGTCTTCATTGAATAATTTCAGAATTTCACAAAAACTTAATTTAGGCACTACAGGACTATCTATAATAGCAAAAAAAAAAGAGACTAATGTAAAGATCTAAAAAATTGGGGATCAATTAAATAAACTATGGGTATCTACAAATTGTGATACTATAACTAATATACTATATAATGTCAATATTTGCTAACATGAAAATATGGGCATTTACACTACTAAGAAAAAAAAAAAATCAAAGTCCAAACCAGTTTGTATGGTAGGGTTTCATTTTTGTTACATAAATAATGGAGTAGACAGGCATATATGTCAAAAGAGGTAGTTTCTAGGTAGCAAGTTAGCCGATTTTAACACTCTTGACTTTTCTGATTTTTTTCTAATTATCATGTATTACTTGAGGGTTTTTTGTTTGAGTCTGAATTCAGTAAAGAGAATAGTGAATGAATGCAAAGGTCTCTCTCTGATCATACTCAGCTTCCCTGGGCCCAATTCCATCTATCACCAAGACTTTAAAATTGATAGATTAGGAAATGAATGTATGTGGCAAGGCACAATACATAAAAACAGAGCATTTAAAACAATTAAACAACTTTTTTTTTTTTTTTTTCAAAGAAGAAGACTGGTTCTTTAGAGAAACCACTGTCTGACGTTCATATTATGTACTTACCACTGGGAAACTCTCCTATGTCATCATATAATTTGCTGTAACCTCTCAACTCTAGCAGGAACAGTGACACCGTGGGAATACTAATCCATGGCAATGACTGGACAGTAAATATGATCTCTCTATAGACTTGATTCTGAAAATGAAATGGCCAGTACTTAAAAATCACAAAATCTATGTTAAACAAAAACCAGCACAATATTGTCTTGGATTGGATTTTTACAATCTCTTTTATCTGAAGAGGCTCATCGCCAAACTGTTTCCGTGAAAATGGTAACATGTGGGAATGTATGTGTAAGGAAAACATTCCTTTTGTAAAGAGCAAATGTAATAAATACTTTAAGTTCTGAAACTTTCTCTCGTTCCCACAAAATTGGATGCTACATTTCCATTTATGGAATAAACCTTTCTTTCACAAATAATGTCCATCCCCAACCCTCTTGATTTTCTCTCTTTTTTTTTTTTTTCCAGTCCTTCGAGTCACTGATAAATACAAGTAACTGGAAGAGAAAAAAATGCCTGTAAACAAATCTACAATCTCCCAGCTAGTTAAAAAATAGATATGTAATAAAAACGTGTTTCAGTTTGAGAGTCAGATATTAAAACAATTACACAAATGTGTGCATTTATTGATTCCTCATTATTAGCAAAGAAATTCATTCCTATGTATCCAGGAAGACACCAGGCTTATAATTAAAACAACAACAACAAAGTTGGATTCATTTATTTGTTTAAATTAAGAGAAGGAGAGAGGGGATTAGCCCTACCAAAAATATCTAACGTATCTGAGGCTAGCTGCAAAAATTTTATTTAATGGTTATAACCCAGTTTAATCTGAAAAGCTCACAGATACCTATTATTTTCACTGTAACCGTAGCTAAAAAGTAGGTAAGACAATCACTTACCTTTAAAAATTGTGGATGCTTCATTAATGCATGATCATAGACAAAATAATAGCTCAGTGTTGCAAAGAAGAAATAAAGGATATAAGCTCCAAGATTTGTTACAATCAGGAGACTAATAGTTTGTCTGAAGATGTTATCCTCAGGCCATGAGGCTGGATAGATGTACGGTGTAAAAAAATAATAATCTGCAGCATTGAGTACAAGATCCATCTTAGCCCCTAAAGGATAAACAGGTGCAACAATTATTTACCCACGCTGATAGTTCTCCATGCAAAAAACTTTTGGAAAAATTGTACATGAAGTTCCTGCTTTAATAAGCACTTACAGTGTAAGACCGCAGCTACCAGAATCCCTGAAATGCCATCTTTAGAGCCCAAAGGAACTTAAATGTCATCTCTAGCCCAATCTCTTCATATTATACATGGGGACAGCAAAGCTCAGAGAAACTGAGACCCAGAGTTTTTTGTTTTTTTTTTCTAACATTTGCTGATTAGTGGCGTCCATGCAGATCTAATGCCATCTTTGTGTTCTTTTCCAACCTCTCCTATGGCAATGTGGCAAGTAGTAAAGATGGGGAACGCAGGAAAGTGGGTACTCAGATGTTTCCTCCTCTGGCTACAAGTTTCAGTGATACGTCTCTTCTAAAAGGACTCCGATTTCAGAGGATTTTCCTTCAGTGCTGAGACGCAAAGACAAATTTGCTAGATGGATCTATGCTGCCACCTCAGGGACTATCTGTTCTTGTGACAGAAGGAAAGGCCACTCCCATTGACAGAACAAAAGGAGACAGGTTCTAGATTAAGAACTAGAATACACTTATTCCTCTTCCCCCAATCAATATTCTAGATTGGGGGCTGGCAACTGCAAACTTGTAACTCGAAGTTCGAGGAGGAGAAGGCACAAAAGAGCTGTCTGGAAATAATTTAAATTTTTCAGTTGTCTTCCGTCCAGCCTGCCTGGAGCTTGGATCACCCGTATGTGTTAGTGAATCAGCCTGAAGGTTTCTGCCCAGGTATTTTGTGAGGCTCATTCAAACACAGTGGGTGTGACTACATACGGAGATACCATTTCTTTGCTATGACTTAATGAACACCCTACAGTTGGACGATACTCTCTGCTGGTAAGGCTGCAGGGAAACAGGCATGATCTTACCCTGCTATGGGCTCGCAGTGGCGCAGCTCCTACGTGGAGCGATTTAACAATATGTCAGCACAGGACTCCTGTGCGTTTGTGCTACACTCGAGCTGTCATCTGGTATTATCTTAGCTAATTCATCGGGGTCTGTTTAGCTGTTTCAGGATCAGCAGAGTCACTTTCATCCTACTTTCGTTTTTCACTACAGAAGCCTCCTAAATTTCTGAACCTTCCCTTCTTAATACTAACATTTGCCTTCAGCAGAGCAGTTCCTCAGGATGTGTCCTAGCTTGTGTCACGATCAGTGAAGCAATCGGTGGCGTTTATTTACGTTCTTGTGATCAAATCCACTTAATCAAAAGATGGTTAGGATGTTCACTTTCTCTCCTGGGCTGTGGTTTCCCGTTTTTCATTAGTTCTTAATGCCTCCCCACTGGGGTAAAACTCCAGCAATCTGTTTTTCCAGTCTCTAAGTCACATGTGTCGGTAATGCCCACGCTGTCCTCTTCAGTAGGAGGCCTCACAGACACCAGGTACAAGCTCCTACAAGAATTTCATGTCTGCGCTATTCCTAATGAAGGATGCTTCCATTCGTGTTATTCACATGGGTTATCTTTAACGATTTAAAAACAATATTTCCATCTGCAATTAAACCCAAAGTAATAAAACAGTCCCAGCAAAGAGCGGAGGTAGGGGTACGTGACAAGGGCACCAACACACAGGGCGTGCCTCAGTCCGCTGGAGGAAGCCTGTGCCGTCAAATGAGTTTGAGTGCCAGTTTTTAAAAAACAAAATAAAGCCCTGGTTTTTCAGACCTTGAAACTGTAGCCAAGGGACTGTGGACCTGTGTTCCTTTGTGAGACCTCACTGCTGTTTATTTAACTCACGTATAAGTATTTGGATAGATTCTTACCTTATGCTATTTAAAATAACGCAACAATGATTAACCCAATATTGTGTAAACTTCTACAAGCGGAAGAGCTAGGACAAGGATGAACGGGCTCAGTAACGTTGGTAGATATGGCTAAGTTGGTCTGCATAGGAGCCATGCCACTGTGTGAGCCCACAGCTGTGCAGGATCGTACCCATTTCCTGACACCCTTACAGACAAAGAATATCATCAAATTGTAGGAAATTCATTAATCTGATAGACAAGAAATTATTATCTTGGTATAGATTTATTTTTCTTATTATGAGTGAGGTTGAACAGCATTCTATATATTTAGAATAATTTATATTATTTCTGTGCAATTCTGTTTTTATCCTTTGCCCATTTTCCCACTGGGTTTTTAGTTTCTTAAAATCAAATTCTAGAAGTTCTTTATTTACTGAGAGTGTTTATCCTTGTTTATGATATGAGTTGCAAGCATTTTTTTTTTCTCACTTTGTCATGGAAAGTTTTCTTTTAAAATATTTTTTTTAAAAAGATTTTAGTTATTGATTTGATAGAGAGAGACACAGCGAGAGAGGGAAGACAAGCAGGGAGAGCGGGAGAGGGAGAAGCAGGCTCCCAGTCGAGTAGGGAGCCCAATATGGGACTCGATCCCAGGACTCTGGGATCATGACCTGAGCCGAAGGCAGATGCTTAACGACTGAGTCACCCAGGTGCCCCTTAAAAGAGTTTTTTATTTATTCATTTGAGAGAGGGAGAGAGAGAACACAAGCAGGGGGTAGGGTCAGAGGGAGAGGGAGAAGAAGACTCCCAGCTGAGGAGGAACTCTAACCCAGGGCTTGATCCCGAGATCCTAGGATCGTGGACTGAGCTGAAGGCAGACACTTAACTGACTGAGCCACCCAGGCATCCCTGTCATGGCAAGTTTTAATTAATTAATGTTAAACACCAGATATTGACATATATCCTTCATCACACATTGCTAATTCATTCAAATAACAAGTATGAAGCATTACACTAAGTAATGAGCATACAAATATTGAAAAGATACAGTCTAAATCCATCTGAAAGGTGAGGCAACAATGGAAACAAACAATTACATCAACAATAATGCTATAATAAATGTATATACACAAATTCTACATAATTAAAAAACACAACTACCCCAGCTTATAGTAGAAGGCTTCATAGTGACATTTTATTCAGGCTTTAAAGGACATTATCAGAAAGAAAAGATTAGGGATGGCTATTTCAAATAGAAATAACAACTTGCACGGTGCCTGGGTGGCTCAGTTGGTTCAGTGTCTAACTCTTGGTTTCGGCCCCATTCATGATCTCTTGGGTTATGGGATGGAGCCTCAAGTCAGGCTCCGTGCTCAGCAGGGAGTCCGCTGGAAGATTCTCTCCCTCTGACCACCCCCCCCAAATAAATACATAGATAAATCTTAAAACAAACAAACAAACAACTGGCGAAGGCATAGAAAAAAGTCATGGTATATTCATGACTCACTGGGTGTCACTGGTGGGTGCCAAACAGTAAGACAGGGGTGAAAGAGAGGGGGGAAACTGTTCCAGGATAAACCTGGTAAAAGGAAATTCGTGTCAGGCTGTGCAAAGCTCTGTTGCCTTGCTAGGGAATATGACTTTCCCTCATACACAATGGGGAGATACTAAAGGTTTCTGAGCAGGAAAGAGGTTCTAATCAGATCCATATTTCATAGAAACCACTCCATTAGGAATATGTGTACCGATGAGAAGCAGAGAGAGAGAGAGACTAATTTAGCTGGTCCTCTGGTAGACTAACTAGCTTAGCAGCTCTGAGAACACACATGCACGTACACTGGAGATTTAGCAAGTAAAAAACCCACAGGGCTTGATGACCAATTAAATGCTGGAATGTGAATGAGGGAGAAATCTAGGATGACTGTGAGATTTTAGCTGGCCTGAGTGGACGGTGATGTCATCAAAATCAAAAGAGGGAATGCTGGGAGAGCTGGCAGATTTGGTGCCACAGGGATGGGGTGCATAAGCAATGAGGGGTTCAGTTTGGGTCTTAAATAAGCTTTAAGTCTATGCTTACTCTTAGACATAAGCAGTGGACTACATAGAAATATGAACCTGAGGTTCAAAAGTGAGCTTGTAGTAGTTGAAATTGACACCATAAGGGGTAGAGACAGCCAACAGAGATCATGTGGCAAAGAAACTACACAAAGTAATAGCAGGAAACAAACATTTTGAAACAACCTAACAATTGTGAAAGATCTTGTGACACCACTAAAGTTTGGTTAAGAGTTTACAGACTAATCTGGATGTTACCTACAGTGTTGCTTAGCCCTAAATCAGTACAGTACAGTGCAGCCCAAACCAACTCAAACATTAACTAAGACTCTTCTTTATTCAATCCTTAATATCAGATGCAAATAATTATTTTCAAAAGGTCTCAGTCCTTTAAAAAACTCCTTAGTTTTACTTTTATTTGAAGACCACGCTAATTGTGTTCATTTGTATATTCCCTGGTCACAATTGCTGTTACAGTAAACCAGTGCCTGGAAGGGAGGAAGAAATGTGCCTCAGTCATTCTAGAGGCAGTTTAGATACTGGGAAATAAAACCTGTTTTATGTGTTTTTAGAATTTTGGTTTCAATTCTATTTTTTGAATGCAGTAATTAAATATTCATAAGTATACCACTATACTTTCTGACATCTAACACAAAATCTTCTGAAATCAGTAACAATATGACCTCAAAATTGCAAATCAAATTTGAAGTTTAGTGACCTCGTGGCGCCATGGTAGTGCGTCTGACTCCAAATTTGAAGTTTATATGCAGACCCACATCTGTAAAATGGAGATAACATATTTCCATTATAGAACTGTTGTTAAGGTTTAGAGGCTAAGGCCCTAGTGTTTTGGCACCAACTGACACAGAAGTTAGTCAAATAGGAGCTATTATTACTGCTGTTAGGGGGCTGAAGCGGAATCAAAATTACTTTAACCTAAGGGAGAAAAAGGTGTCATTTGGCTTTTCCTTTAAAAATAATGGATATCAATATTTACTCTACACTTGGCACCATAAATATTACCTCCTTTAACACTTTCAAGAAACCCTAAGGGTTTAGCACTACTGTTACAGGTACTAGTATTATGAATGAAGAAGCAGGGCACAGGAAATTCAGGTAATCTGGGGCACCTGGGTGGCTCAGCGGGTTAAGCGTCTGCCTTTGGCTTAGGTCATGTATCCCAGAGTCCTAGACTTGAGACCCATGTTGGGTCCCCAGCTCAGCAGGAAGTTTGCTTTTCCCTCTGCCCATCACCCTGCTCATGCTCACGTGTGCGCGTGCACTCTCTCTCTCTTTCTTTCTCAAATAAATAAATAAAATCTTTATAAAAATTCAAGTAATCTGCTTGGGATCATCAAATAAACAAATGTTGGGGCTGGAACTCAAACATTTGCAATCGGGTTACAAAATCCCGAGTTTGTTTTTTAAGATTTTATTTATTTACTTATTTGACAGAGAGACAGACAGACACACACACACACACACACAGGCAGGGGGAGCAGCAGGCAGAGAGGGAGAAGCAGACTCTCGGCTGAGCAGGGATCCTGATGTGGGGCTTGATCCAAGCACCCTGGGATCATGACCTGAGCTGAAGGTGGATGCTTAACCAGCTAAGCCACCCAAGCGCCCCTCAAAGTCCCAAGTTCTTAAACCAAGACGTGAACCAAGTTCGAATGCCTCTTCATCACGATCTCAACTCTTCAGCTCCTTATTTTTTTAAATTCTCAGTGACTACCAACTCACAAAATTTTGCATATAATTTTAAGGTGTTTTTACCCCCTATGTCCGGGGCTCCACAGACCCTAAGTTAAATATCCCTGACTGAAACAGATGCTTGTATTATTTTACTTTCACAGAAACAAAGAAAACTTTTTTTTATAAAGTACAGTTATTTATAAAACGCAATTAGGCTAGAATGACTGGGTCTACTATTACTTTGGCTTTACTTTAAAAATATAGATCATGGGCTGCCTGGGTGGCTCAGTGGGTTAAGCCTCTGCCTTCAGCTCAGGTCATGATCTCAGGGTCCTGGGATCGAGTCCCGCATCGGGCTCTCTGCTAGGCAGGGAGCATGCTTCCTCCTCCCTCCCTCCCTCCCTCCCTCTCTCTCTCTCCTTCGCTCTCTGCCTACTTGTGATCTCTCTGTCAAATAAAATCTTTAAAAAAATATATAGATCATAATTGTTAACATTTGTTGAGAAACAGGTGTTATGTAAAAGCATTTTTTATGAATCACCTTGCTTAATTCTCATGACCCTACCAGGCAGGTACTTCCATAACTCCTACTTTATAAAAAAGGGAAATGGAGGGCAGGAGTATTTAAGTAATTTGTCAAGTACCAAGTAACAAATGGGAGGTATATTCCAGAGTCTGCTCTCTCAGCTTCTACATTATCTTATCTCTCAACCTGTATACAAACACATAGGGAATTCTGAGTATCTCATGCTAATTACATTACATAATGATAGGAAAAGCATTCTGTGAGTGATCAAGAATCATGTATTCATCATTTTTTAGATGCTTATCATTAGAAACCTAAACACGGGCACACACAACGACGGTGACATAAAGACAGGTAACCTGCTGGAAGGTTTTGGTTAAAAATACCTGGCTACCACGAGCTTTCCAGACTGGAAACTTTTTTTCCTAGTGACATTTGGAACTTCACCTATCTCTACCACCTCCAAATCCACTCTGCTATAACATATGGATGCCGGTAGACACAATGTTTTCCTTTTACGATGCTAACGTAACAGATCATTTCCCTTCCCTCTTAGTCTTGTCAAACCGTGGATTGTTGTCTCCCTCTATCCAGTAACTGGGGTTTGCTCTGTAATGGTCAGGAGGTCACAGCCTAATTTCTTTGCCTCTTTAAAAAACGAAAGATTCGGGACGCCTGGGTGGCTCAGTTGGTTAAGCAGCTGCCTTCGGCTCAGGTCATGATCCCAGCGTCCTGGGATCGAGTCCCACATCGGGCTCCTTGCTCAGCAGGGAGCCTGCTTCTCCCTCTGCCTCTGCCTGCCATTCTGTCTGCCTGTGCTTGCTCTCTCTCCCTTTCTCTCTCTGACAAATAAATAAATAAATAAAATCTTTAAAAAAAAAAAAAAAAAAACCGAAAGATTCCCTCCAACCCAGAGGGATATCTGTCTCGAAGTAAAGTATTAGTGTTCGCTGCACAGACTCTCTGGGATGAGCGCTCCGCAACATCAGGCATTTCGTTTCCTGCGCGGCTATCTCTGTGCCTGTTTCTTTCACGTGCGGGCCTCCTCGGCGCCCCGGCACCACCTCTGGCTGGACAGAGCTCCCATACCCCCGGTCTCCGGGCCAGCGGTCCCCTGCACCCCGCACTCGACGCATCACGGCCCGCGTCGGCTTCCGGGATACCCGGCTGCCTGCCAGTCCCTGGTGCGGGTCACCGCGGAGAGCCTGACACTCAGGCGGGGTCCCACCCACGCCTGCGCCTAGCGGGAAAAGAAAGGGCCGGCCGCACAACTTCCCCACCTGGGACGCGTCGTGCTGATGGCTCCCTGTCCAATTTCCTCCTCCTTCCCCGCCCGTGCAGCTCAGGTGTATCTCGCCTCCTCCTCCCGCCCTCCCGTTATCCCTACCTCCAGAGAGTCCGTGGCCGGCTAGGCCTCCGCAAAGTCCTAGGCGGCCGGGGCCACTGGGCTGCCGGCGGCGGTCAGCCAGCGGGTTAGGCCTGGAGGGGCGTAGCCAGGCACAAGCGCCTAGCGGCAAGAGCCGCCAGCCAATCAGGGGCCGGCGGCATAAGCTGATATGACGGCAGATCGCGCGACTTGGCTGCGCGCGGCTCTCAGTGGTCACGTGGGCGCCGCGCGCTTGGCCACGCCCCCTCCGTCCTCCGGTTGGAAGCGAGGGCGGGACGCTGGTTCAGGAACCCAAGCCGCGGAGAATGGAGTTTCAGGTTTTGTTTTTGTTTGCTTTTCAGCTGCCACTACGGGTGTAGTTGAGTCTTGCACGAAGCAGATTGACTGTGTTTATGCAGACATTCCTAAAACCGATGCCCTACCTTGAGGGAAATAGGTATTTTCCTTTGAGTTGAATGTCGGAGGCATTTCCCCACTTACATTGAAGGGAGTTCAGTACCTGTGAGACAATGACTAATATTTCCCAGTCGGAGTGTGTGGTTTTGTTTTGTTTTGTTTTGTTTGTTTTTGTGGTGGTTTGCGGTGGTCACGCTTGTAAATCGAATTTCTGGGAGCCTCAGTGTAGGGCTTCTCAGTGGCCAACCGGCTGTGTTGGCATCCTCTGGGAGTTGCTTGGAAAGACGGATTCTCGGGAGTCGCTCAGACCTTCTGGATCAGAACGTGCCGGAGGGTCCCAGAAATCTGTATTTTAACAAACCCCAAGTGAGTCTAAGGTTTGTTGAAGTTAGAAAACCGCTGCTGTAATGAATTTGATCAGTCGGGAGAAAATGTCCTTCCGTGTTGCTCCCTCGTGAGTGGTCAGTAGAAGAAAACGCTGAAAAGTGATAATGCTGGTAACTAAGTTTGGGAAAGACCCATTTCTGTTTCCTTACAGGAGCATCAGAAGTGCTACCAGGTAAGGGGAGAAATGAATTAGTTTCCATAAAAACCTTTTATATGAATATTGTTTTAAATACCTGTGGCTTGCCTCCTATTTTCTTTCTTCTTTTTCTTTTTCTTTTTTTTTTTTTTTTTAGTGGACCTGTAACAGTATATTAGTTTCAGGTGTACACCGTAATGACTTGATAACGGTATATTCGTTTCAGGTGTACAACCTCAAGACGAGAAATTGGCTCCTACTTTCCAAATCACATTTCTTGTTTCCTTTGTCATTCTCATTTAACCCTTTAATGTTTGAGATTAAGATTTTTATGTATCATTTCTGAGAAACATAAAAATGTGGTTTGTTAACCTTGAAAATAAAACAGCCAGTTATTTTGCCAGCAAAAAGGGGTTTGTTTGAGAATAGTAGAGGATTGCAATTTAGGGCAAGCAAGCTATGGCAAACTCACAGGCAAATCCACAGGGGAAAGAAAAGAAACTCCAAAGAGAAAAAGGGGAGGTCGGGAAGGCTGTTGTAAATAAAAGTCCATTGGAATAAACTGGGAGTTGGAAGTAGAATGGCTTTTCGTTGGCTTTGTTGTGACGGTCTTTCCTTGGCTGGGTTGTTGCTAGGGTAGAGGGAAACCTTCATCTTACCGGGGTAGTAAATTAACAGCAAAAGTAAATGGACTTGCAAGGTTAGGCTCTTCCTTGTTGGGTCTGCAGTTGACTAGGAGTGAAAGGGTGTAAGAGCTCCCCCTGCTGGCCACTCAAGTCCCTTTTAGTGAGATTTCCTTTTATTCTCACAGATTTAAAAGGTATAATTTATCTAGTACAGAGGTTCCACATTTGTGGCTGCTGTGGACTTGCTTATGTGGTTTGTTTAGTCCGAAAGTATATTTTTCCCTTGAATTAAGTAATTTCGCATTTTAGAAAAATGACCTATTGTGAAAGATTGGGAAATCTGACATTGAAATTATAAGCAAACCTCCAATATAATACCCCGAATAGCTAGAATTTTATCATTGAATATGTACGGGATCGTGCACCACCACCAGATGGTGATACATGCTATGAAGAAAACAAAAGGGTGAAAGGATCAAAACTGATGATGGCTGTTTTATTATTGGTTACAGTCCCTTTCTCTGTGTGGGGAGCATTTGACCAGAGTGGAGTAAGGGAGCCTCATTCACTTGGTAGATTCTAAACCGAGATTTAGAGTCTGAGTGTTTTGATGAGCTGATGGGGGCCACAGGCTCGCAAACATCTATTTGTATGACTTTAGTTTTTAGATAGAAAAGAGTATTCAGGGAGAGCCTGGTGGCTCAGTTGGTTAAGCGACTGCCTTTGGCTCAGGTCATGAACTTGGAGTCCCGGGATCGAGTCCCACACTGGGCTCCCTGCCCCACAGGGAGTCTGCTTCTCCTGCTGACCTCTCTCCTCTCATGTTCTCTCTCATTCTCTCTCTCTCTAAAATAAATAAATAAAATCTTAAAAAAAGAAAAGCATATTCAAGAAAAAGGTAGGTGCACAAGCACCCAAAAACAGATACAGGAAGAGAAGATATTTATTCCTCAACCCGGTGCCATGGATTAGGTTAAAACCTAATAAGTAGCTACTTAATATTTTAGGGATCAGAGATCCCTCTGAAAATGAAATCTATGGTCTCTGTCCCCCCAAAAGTACACATTGCATACAGTAGAAGCTCTTCCCAACCAGGGTCACTTAACTAATGTTCTCAGTAGCCTTTCTGAAATATACCAGCCGATCTTTGGAAAATACTAAAGACTCACAGCTTGTAGCCTTCACTTTGGTTCACTCCTGCGTATCTCCTTCCACCAGTGGAGTGGGATGCTTAACAAGAGCCAGTTATGCTACCAATCTATTGATTTCTGTTAAACTCCTCATAATTACATAATTAAATTTTACAAACTGGTAAAATTTGAGTCTGCAAAGAAAAATAATTTGGGTTTTTTTTAAAGATTGATTGATTTGAGAGCGGGCGAGTGAGCGTGCAAGAGCCTGGGCACACAAGCAGGAGGGACAGAGAGAGGGAGAATCTGAAGAAAACTCTGTGCTGAGTGTGGAGCCCATTGTGGGGCTCGATCTCATGACCCCAAGATCACAACCTGTGCTTGGGCCTTACCCCCACCCAGGCACCCCAAGACTTATTTCTATGAAAACTAAGAATGTTTTGGAAAGACAGCATAAATATGACTGCTAATATAAATAGCTATTGAATTGGGTGTAGGCAATGAGAGACTAGAAAGACTCTTGAGAGACTTTTCAAGCCCCAAATCTGGCAGGATTCTGCCTTCAATTTGATCTGCAAGAGTTAACTTGTCTCTACTGCGAACAAATTAAAGTTGAAAATCAAACACAAAACTCTGGGCCTGTAGTTTAGGCAATAGACTGCCTAGAGCTCCAATCAGAGGGACCATACTCAAAAGAAAGACCTTAGGGAATGACTGGAGAATAAATATTTAGGTAAAAATAAAATTCTTAAAGCATATGTATATATAATATTGATGAGGCTGTAGGTCATGTGATAGACACCCAAAATAACAGAGGTTTACTCCAGAGAAAAGGTTTTCTTTCCCATGGAAGTGTTAATTAACATACTTGTCTGTGCTAACAAGCCCCAGAATTACAATGACCCCAACACAGTAGAAATTTATCTTTCACTCAAAAAACAGTTCAAATGGATGATCCTGGTCATTGGGTAGCCCTCCTCTAAATGGGATCCAAGTTTTTCCATCTTGTAATTCTGCCATTGTCATAACTTTCTGTGTCTTCTCTAGAGAAATGGCCAAGAGGGAATGGAACGTGCATACCCACTCTTTGAAAGCCTTGGTCTGAAAATTCCATACATCCTCTCTGACATTCTCATAGTTACAACTCAGTTACATGGCTCCATCTAACTATTAGGGAGGCCGAGAAATGTAGCCTTCATTCTGGTAGTCTGTCTGTTCAGCTAAAATCAGAGTTTCTAGGGGCGCCTGCCCTTCAGCTCTGGTCACGAACGCATGGATTCTGGGATCGAGCCCTGAGTGGAACACACACTGACTGCAGACCAGTAAGGACCGGAAAGCATGCTCTGTCATTTTAAGCAATCGAGTCTATTTTCATCAAAGATGCAAGTGTGTATTTATTAAAAAAAAAAAAAAATACTATACAAGAGCTTATAAAGGAAAAAAAAGGCGTGTCCACGTCCTAATTCTGCTCTGCACAGGTAATTATTCTTTACAATTCCAGCTGTATATTATGCCATGTACCCATATATTCACACAAACATTAGTCATGCTTGCTGTGCCAGTTAGGGATATCTCTCTCTCTCACTTTGGAGCCTTAGGATTAGGACTCTGGGCTAGAAAGAGTGCTTTTACAGAAAGCTGGCCATGTGACTCCTGTTAAAAACCAAAATTCAACTGAGTAGATCTGAAGATCTATTTGGCTTTATTCAACCACTCATGAATCGGGCAGCATCCCATCTAGCAAGTAGAGAATAGCTCCAAGGAGGTATACAAAATGAAGGTTTTATAGGCAGGAGGAGGGTGAGACGAGGAAGTTGAAAGTGGATTGTTTCAGGCGAGGTCTCCTTCCCTTGGGGGGAAAGCAGAAGTTCTTCCTGAAGCAGATCACCTCACTAATGCTGGTGTGGAAATCCCAGGCTGACTGGCTTCAAATTCCACTCCTGGGAGGCTGAAACTGCAGTGTAGTCAGTCAGGAAGTCTCGGTGGGGGCTTAGCAAAAGTGACTCCATTTTGGATCTGCTGTTTCTTTTTAGCCTTCCCTTAGATGAGTTCCATAACAACAGCAGAGCGTAGACTCATTCATGTGCACTAATGAGGCATACCCATAAATTTCCAGAAGTAACAACGGGAGAGATTTTTGTCCGAGACCATGGGTGAAGGAGCAATTGATCTGTGACATTTGAACTGTTGATGTTGATGTCATTTGTAACTGTGGGCTGGTGGGTCCTGAGGAAATTGGAGTTGTAAGTAAAAAACATATGCTGGAACAGAATAGTGCGCAGACAGGATGTTGACTTTCTCTAAGGAACTCCAAGCAGCTTCCCAGGTCAAGTTAAGACTCGAAGGAGAAATGGGAGTTCGCCGGTGTCAGGCAATAGGTAGGACTAGAAGGGCAAGGAGTTGTCT